GAGAGAAATTCATTATTATTACTAAGGACGGAATAACCGCTTCTAACTCAAGATAGCCAAACTATACTATTTCCTCTCTTATCTGGAGAGGCTCCTATATTAACTAATATAGTTACTAAAGTAGTTTATATTATTTATAAGATAAACAGGTATTAGGAAATACTAATAGAGGTCTATTTAAGAATTCTTAGTATATTATAGCCTAGCCTTAATAAAATACCGGCTATAACTACTATAGCGGAACGGCCAGATTCTATATAAATCGCAAGTAGCTTAATAATTTAGTTAGCCTCTATATAGATTAATATACTAGAAGCAAAATATATTTATTCTAAGGAAATAACTATCCTTAATATAATAGAGTAAATAGATACCTCAAAGTAATATAATACCAAGCTTAAATAAGCTAAGAAGATACTGCTTCCTATAAAATAAGGAATACCCAGAAAACGTCTAGCTATTATAGTTCTAGATAAATACCTAAAGAAGGCACCTAATATTATAGTTACGGAGAGCCCGGGAAAACTCGCCTCTAAGAATAATAAAGATTATTCTTTATTAGTAAATTCGGCTAGTATTTAGAAGAGAATCTTTAATATAAGAAGGAAGAGGCTTAATAATATTCTTTATAGAGGGCAAATATTATATAAACTAATCCAGATAACCTGTTTTAGAATTCTCTTTAATCCAGATATATAATATATTTTATAATATATATATTATAATAATAATTAACCTTAAGTATATTACTAGAACCTATATAAAGGCAAGTAAAGAAAATATTAATAAAATAGCTATATTATTTTAGGCAGATCTGCAAAAAATAGAATTACTCTCTATCCTTAATAAATAGGTAAAGCTATTAGCTAAGGAAAGATAACCGGACCTGTCTTGCCTCTTTAACTTACTTGAATTACATTCTATTATACTATTAGAGGAGGTTTTAAGCCTATAAACTAAGTATAGTCTCGAGAAAGCAAGCTAATATCTAGTTTGGGTTTTGAATATATATACTAATATAATATATTTAAATAAAAGAAACCGGTACTATAAGGCTATTTAAATACTACTATTAGCCAAGTTATTAAAAGAATCGGCTATATTCTTAGTAAATATATATTTAATAATAATAATTCTATTATAGTAAATAGTATAATTAAACTATTATATAGTATATTTAATAGGCTTTATTAGGGAATAGCTTAACTACTAGAATATTATAGCCGCTCTAGAGATAACTAATAGGCTAGTATTTATAAGACTCGGTCTCAATATCTCTTTCTATAAGAAAGAGGCAAATAGTAAAGTTATACTTTTTCCGAATTCCCTATATTACTAGAAAAAGAAGATTAATAATTATAGATATAAAGGTAAAAGTAATTCTAATAGCCTATAAGTATATATTTACCCGCTAAATATTAATACTAACTACTTTATACTACTCGAGATTAATAAATAAATAAAGATAATATATTACTATAATTTAATAATAAGCTATAGAATTATTTATTATAAAATAAAGTCTATTCTAGTAAAATAAATAGTAGAGGTAAGTGGATTTAAGCAGGTTATTTAAAGGTAGTACTAATCCGCTATAGAAGAAGTTTAAATATTTAAATTTCGGATATACTAAGGCAGTAAGTATATATAGCCTAATAGACCGCTATATACTAATCTAGCGGCTAGCCTGCTCCCTAGTAGAGAAACGGATAGAGTTATAGCCTAATAGCTATATATAATACTAAGCGGCAAATAATTAGACTTCTAGTTAGTAGGTAGGATAATAAGATAGATTTAGACCAGATAATTAAGAAGGTAGTCGGGAATTATTAGATATTTCTTAAGAATAATACTCTTTAGCCAAGTCTCCTTTCCAAGAAGTATAAAAGAATAGTTGAGGGCCCTCTAAATAATATTCTTAAGCCAAGTTATAGTTCCAAAAAACTTAGAGAGATTATCTAGGGTTTCTAGATAGTTCCTTAGAATAAGGCTTCTTATTATCTGGCTATAAGAGTTAGGGTTAGTATTTATAAATAATAGTATTATAGGATTAATAAATTTATAGTTTAATCTTTAAATAGATTTCTCGAGGAAATAGTACTTTTAAAATAACTCCGCTCTAAGCTTCTTTTATCTAGTATATAAATCGCCTTATTCTAATAAGAACTTGGAATTATATATAAGTATTATACCTCTATTATAGTTTATTACCTATAAAGCCGGTAATATAACCTTTATAGCTACTGAATTATAGTATATAAGGTTGCGGTATAGGCGAATTTCTATTATAGCAAATATAGGTTCAGAGTAAAATAAGGATATTAGTAGTAGAATAGGCGAGTATACTAGGGCCAGCCAATTATATAGGGAATGTATTTCCGTTATAGAATACTTGGTTCTATAAATATTATTCTATATAGTAAGTATAAGTATATATATATAAGTAATAGTAATAATATATAATATATATTAAGAGGTAATTAACTTGCTAATTAATTATAAAGCTAAAGTAGGGTTAGTAAATAAGCTTAGCCAAATACTATTATACTATTATATTTATTTAGGATATAGAGTAGTAACTAAACTCTTAGTTAATAGAGGGTTAGTAATAATAATAAAGAATAATAATAGATATATAATATACGATTTGGCTAAAGGTTCAGACTATATAATTAAGGCTCTTAATAGTAAAGAGCCAGACTTTTATATATATAAAGATTATATAATTCTGCTCTAGTTTAGGAAAAGACTCTTATTAAGTCTTGGAACTAGTCCCTTATCTACTACTCTCTCCTCTCTATATATATTCTGGTCCTCTATTAGAGCTAGAGCTATAGTCTATAAACCCCTCCTCCTCCGGTCCGTATTACTAAATACGTTATTTTATTCTAATTATACGGCGTTATTATATCTATATTCCCTTAATTAAATTAGTAACTAGTATATATATTTAGTTCTCGGTATCTTTAAAAGTCTCCTCTAATAGTTAGTATATTTGGAAATCTAGGAGCTCTAATACCTTAGTAATTAATTTTCTGTTCTAGGCTTCTATTTTCCTAATAATAGTTATTATTATGCCTTAGTAGTTTTTCTAGGCCCGGAAGAGAATATTAAGGCTCTTTTCTATTAATACCTCTAGCCTTTTACTACTGAAATCCTTAGACTATATAAGCCTATACTTCTTTTATTTCTATAAACCGAATATCTTATTATAAGTTATATTTAACGAGTCTAATACTAATTAGTTTAGTATTTCCTATTTATAATAAGTGAACCTTATAAGTAACTTCTTTAGATAATCCGCTAAAGCCTCTCTTAGGCCTCCTTATCTCTAATTATTTTCCGAGTATAGGTCTGTCGGTTGCAGGCTCGATATATTTAAGAGTTATACTCGAAGCTATACTTAATAAAGTCGGCTCGATATTAGCTATATAAGTGCTATTATAGAGTTGGGACGGTATTAGCAGAAAGGTTTAAGTGGGTTAAACTAGATTCGGGTAGAAATATTAAATAAGGTAGCTAGTAATATCTGGAAAAGAACTTATATTTATAATATTTGGGAAGGTATAGCTAGCTAGTCCTTTATAAGCAGCCTATACTTAGCTAAGAACCCCTTCCCTAAGCGGCGCTATACAGAGTTTAATTAGGCAGGCATATTCTAATAGTATATATAAGATAAGTCTATTCCCTAATTTTATTATATAAAAGATTCCAGAAAACTATTAAGCCCTTAATATAGGTATAAAGAAAAGAAATATTACTGGATTTACTATATATTGCAATAATATACCCTATTACTTAAAGATAACTAAAATCCAGAGAAATAAAAGATAATTTATATTTATAATCTGGCAGACTTTCTTAAGTCTATATATATCCTTTTTATTAGAATACCGTTATAGCCAAAACAGGTTAATAAAAGAATTAAGCCCGCTTATATAATCTCTTCTATTCTCCCTATCTTACTAGAGAAAAATGCTACTAATATAGTCTGAACTATTATAATTACTTAGAAACTCCTTATTTGCAGCTATAGCTTATTTTAAATATAAGAAAAGTATAATACTCTCCTACTTAATAGCTATTTTGCAAGCTATAGCAACTATATTTCTGATCTATTTTCTCGGTTAGTAATATTTCTTAAGGTCCGGAGCAAGTAGACTTATCTCTCGACTATTAAGATATATATTACTTAGATATTTCAATTTATTATTAGAGATACTTGGGTCTTTATAGAAGATATATATCTGATTAAGGAAATTCCTTCAGAGCTCGCTCTTTATATTACTTTTAAGGTTATTATATTTCACCTTTAGATAAATTCTGGAAAGAGCTACTAAATTAAACTCAGTTATATAGTTTATTATAAGAAGTATAATACCTTAGTAATATTCTATTATACGGAGGAATACTAAGACAATACTATTACAGGCTATATTTTTGGGTATATATTTCTCGAGAAATATATCTGCCTTATTAAGTAGCAGAATTATATTCCAATATCTTATAACCTGGAAGATCTTAAAGAGCTAGCTCTCGAGCCGACTTATATTAGTAAGCAGATCTCCGGCAGATACCTAGAAATATTAGAAGAGATATATTTCTTTGAAATATAAGATATATTCTTATACCAAATATATCGGCTTTTAGTAATACTCTGCTATTGCCTTTATAGTTAGAGTCTTTCCCACTCCAGGCTTGCCACTTGAATTATATATTAGTACTTATTAGAAGACGATAATCGGAGTATTATACTGCAAAAGAATAATAATGCTATATCCCTTCCTATTAATAAAGTTATTAAATTCGTAATCTGAATTATAACTGGTCTCAGTTTCTATTACAGCCATTATAGTCTCTCTTTATTTATCGGATAGAATTAGATAGTTGAAAGGCGCCGAGAATTACTTGATCTCTTTAATATTAGTAACTGCAAATTCAACTATATATAAGCAGATTAGCCTGACTGCCTTATACTACTAGAAGAGAAGAATCTTACCCTATATCTTATCTTTAAGGCTGAATTCTGGTACTATAGGATAGCAAATAAGGAGGAGTTTATCTGTAACGCTGCTTTCGGGTAGGTTAGGAGATATTAGACTTACTAGATTAAAAGATATTATAATTAAGCCGTTATTAGAAGATACTTTACTAGAGGCCTTATTAGAGGATTTATAGTTAAACGGATCCCAGAAGGCCGAAAAGTCGAATCTGTAGTCTAGATTAAGGACTATTAGCCTGAAATAGTTTGGATTTATCTTTTGAAAGCAGGCTATATTAACTATAATCCGACTATTAATATATACTTCTACCTATTATTCGTTATATATATAAAAGGTACTACTATTACAGTAATAATAGTAAGTGCCCCTTAGGGATATAAACTTCCGTCCGTATTTAAGGAGGTCGGCCCGAAATATTATAGCCTTCTACTATATTATATATTTATTAACCGAAACTTTAATAGATACTTAGAAAATGCAGTATCTCTAGAGTAATACTATAGATAGCCTTAGCCTCTTTATTAGCTCCCTTCTCGATTAAGTAATCTATTATCCTTATAACGCCTTTCTGGTATATAAAGTAAAGCGGCGTTATACCTTTACTATCTCGAGTTACTATATTCGCTTCTTTTTCTAGAAGAAGTATAAGAATACCTAGAGAATAGCCCTATATAGTAAGGTATAGTACCGTCCGCCTCTTGAAATTAGTAGTAGATATATTAACTTTATAGTCGAGTAGTTCCTTAACTATCTCTTTATATCTATCTAGTACTATTAAATATAAAGGAGTTCTGCTATAGTAGTTCTGTACTATATAAGGCGTATGTTTTTCCAGAAGCTTCTTAACCTTTAGAATATTTCCTGCTAAAGCGGCGCCTGTAAGAACTAGGGCCTTATCTAAGGAAGCAAGCCAGATTCTATAAGTAGAATACTGGCCGTTAAGAACGGACTTGAATAGGCAATTTTTATAAAGCTAGTAATTGCAATACTATAGTCAAATTATACCATCCCTAATCTACTAATTCTCGAAGCAGAAGTAATAGCGTTCCTTAATATTACCTGTATTTGCAGTCTTTCTAATAATATATATATCGGATAGCCGGCCGGAAGTATAATTCTATATATCTGATATATCTTAATTAGTAGTATTAGTATTCGACTATATACTGGAATTATAGTTTAAGAAACGTAAATTATAATTCTATAGGGTATTAGTTAAATTATATCTTTTAGTAGTAGCTATATTATATATTTCAGAACTATATTTCTGGGATATATATTTAGTAGAAGGCACCTTATAATAACCTTAGTAGAGTGTATTTAGCTTTCTAGAAGCTAAGATATTATAGCCTGAGGAATAAATCCAGTTAACTAGATATAGATATATTCAAATAGAGTTTCCTATAATTACTAAGCCTTTAGAGGGAGCTGGAAGTGGGATATAGAGAAACTACCCTATATTACTAGTATAGATATATATAGATATTAATAATAACCTTATATAATAAAGTATAACCAGATATAAGAATATAAAGAAAGCCAGAATAAAGGCTTATATATCCAATCCAAACTAGTACGGATTTGGAGCCTATAAACCCGGCTAAAAATAACCGTTTATAGCTTTTTTTAGCTCTATATCCTTAAAATTATATTCGAAATCCTTATATATAATAATAGCTACTTCTAGATAGGATATAGTTATCTAGTATCTCTCTTAAATAGCTAGAGCTTAAGCTATTAATACTAGGTTTTTAATCTAAAACAATACTATTAATTAGCTTACTTCTCGAATATATAAAGGATATACCTATCTTATAACTATTATACTTCTTTTATATTCAATTATTAAAGATATCCCGGCTATAAATTAGTATTTTCTAAGGTATAGTTACCTTTTCCAGAAAGTATTACTAGATATTAGTCTACTATTCTAGGTTTAACTTATTATACTTTAGTTTAAAGTAGATTCTACTAGTAATAGTATTATTAATTTACTATATCCGGTTAGTAGTAAGAAATATTATCCCTTAATAATATTTCAGGATCCGCAGAAATATATAAATAAGAGTATTTTAATAAATATCTTGGAATAAGTACTATTTGAGAAGTATATCTGCCTTATCTAGAAGAAGAACTATATTCTATTAAGAAGTATACTTGAAGATATAAGGCAGTTACTCTTTAATAGCCTCTACTATTATATCGAGCTTACTAGTAAAAACTAGTATAAGTACCCTATAAAGATATTCGGTAAGTAACTCGGCTATTAAGGTCTTTCCTATATCGGGTAGTTCGCTAATATAATATATTAGCAAGATTATAATAATAATGGAGCCTAGATTTTATATTATAAAAGAATACTAAACTCTTACCCTTTTTCTTTAATAATATTATTAAAGGCATTAGTTAATACCCGTTTAATATTAGCTTCAGAAAAAGCTTATATAGCTTTCTTCTTCCTTATAAGGATATAAAAGTCATCTAACGGGGCTTATTTCTAGTTAATCTCTTTAATATTAGTAATAGCCAATTCCGCTATATTAATATATTAGCTAAAAGAAAGATATTACTATAGCAGAAAAGAATTAAATACTTACCCTATCTACTCTTATCTAAGCTAAACCCAGAAACGGTTAGACTATAGATAAGCAGGTCGTCTTCTTTTACTTCTAATAAATCCATTCTATTATCCTTAATAATAGACGACTTCTCTTTATTATCTTTATTATCTTTATTAAGATTAAGAATAACCTAGCTAGGTAATAGTAGTAGGCCTCTATTAGATTCCTTAATACTCGGTCTAGAGTAGTTTGGGTTCTCTTCTCGAAAATAAGCTATATTAACTATAATTTAGCTCTTAATAAAAGTTTTAATAACTTGTTCTTTCTCGATATAGAATGCCTTGCCTTTATATTCGCAAAAATAAATATCTATTATAAATAGAAATTTCCGACCGTATTCGGAGAGATAGGCCTTTACTTGCTTTTTGCCTAAGTAATATTTAAGAGGAAATACCTCTAGAATAATAATTTCTTTTATCCTATAGAATTTCTTAATAGTATACTTATTTAAGGTCTTCCTAAATACCTTTCTATTAAAATTCAAATAGCAAGCCTTAATATAGAAGTATTCTACCCTATCCTTTATTCTTTTCTCTTCCCTAAATTCATATCTAATATATCTTAGCTAGCTAGTATTAAACCATTTGGTATATACCAGAGTATTCGGCTTAAATAATATCTATAGAAAGTTATATATAATTTAATACTTCTCGAGAAGTGGGCTAAAACGCTTAGTAATTAAAGTATAAGCTATTCTAATAAAATCAAGTAGCAAATCTAGATACTCTAGGGTAAAATAATTAAGGGCTATACTAGAGTCTTAGTAATACTTCTCTAGATTAGACAGATAATAGTAAAGTAGGCTTTATTTTATCTAGTACTTAGTTAGTAAATACTCTAGTATTTAAGTATTCGGATTGGCTCGAGACTTACTAAAGGCTTCTCTTTATAGAGGCAGATTTCCTAGATATTTTATAGAACCTTCCGGAAAATATCCCGCAAGCCTAAAGATTTAATATCTATATATTAGATCTAATTCTTGGTCTCTTTATCTAGACTACTATTAGAAGTAAAGAGTAGGATAGAGGCTAAGATACTTACTAATATATATATAAATAATAAAGATATAGTAATTAAGTTTATTTACTTTATTAGATAATATTAATAATTCCATAACTTTATATTTATACTTCTTTTTATTCTAGCTATATAATATTAGTTCTGGTAAGATCGGGCTCTGCTTAATATATATATATACTTTATTAATCTTCTTAAACCCTAGTATTAAAGCTCGGGCTTTTAGTTCCTCGGATTTATCTTTATAACTAGAGCTAAACGGCTTTATAGGAAAGAGAGGCTCTTGCTTAGTATTAACCGACTTAAGTACTTCTATAAGCTACTAAACAAACTCTATAGTAACCTATAAGGATAACTTTATTATATAGTTAGGGCAGGGAAATAGTATAGTATAAGAGGGAAACTATAATAAGACAAAAACCCATATAAAGTATACCAGAGTATAAAATATAACTTAATAGCAAAATAATAAATTAAAAGTGTAAATAATAAAGCATAAATAGTATATAGTATATAAAAGCCCAATTAATTAAATACTTATAAAGAATTATTCTCTAAGTCTATAGAAAAACTAGCTTTCTTATATAATTTCCGCAAGTTATATATAAAAGGCTGCAGTCTTTACTATATAATCTAAACCTCAAAACCGCTAAAATAATATAATTTTTAATAAGTATAGCCTATTATACTATATCCGATCCCCTATTTATTTGTACTTGTCTTCTAAATACTAAAAATAATAGAAAAATCCTACTTAGAGTTCAAAATAATAAAATATTCAGGATCTTCCTCTATTAGTTAATCTAATTTCTTCTCTATATACCTAAAATAAGACTTATTACCCTTAAATAGTCTTATTTCATACTTCCGAACTTACTTAAAAGTAATCCGAATCTACTTAGCTATATTCTTATATCAAATCCGATATAGTTCTCTATATTAATTAGTATCTGCCTTTAACTATTACTTAATTTCTGCCTTTATTATAGGATATTAAGGAGGCTTATTATAGTAAATTATATTATAAATTGCACTAATATACTTTAAATAAATAGCTTCTTCGAATTTTATATTATCTATAGTATCCTTAAATTAACCTTTAGTAAGAAAGGAAAGCTCTAAATAAGAAGCTTTAATAACCTTATAAAAGACTTCATTTTCGTATATTCTATCCTTAATAATAACTAGATTTATTAGAACTATAGTAAAAGGCCTATTAAGTAGTAAATTATTATTAAGCTATTCTTTAACTTATATATTATCCGAGAATTAATACTTTCCTATAATTTCAGACTTATAAATTATCTAGCTAAAGGCATTTATTTATCTAGTTAAATAGACTATACTCGAAGTCTTTCTTCCTACTACCTTTAGTAAATACTTGCCTATTTCCTTAGCTATTTCCGGCTTAAATTTATCAGAAATAGAGAAGTAATTAATATCTTTAAAGAACTTCTTACTAAAGGTAGCGGCCTTCTTATAGTCTATAAGGAAAATATAGCTAATATTCTAATACTCTTTATTAAGGTAGAATTCGCTACTTAAAGCTTTAGTAGTAGCCAGATCTTTAGTATTGCCTTTATACTAATTATAATTAATATTTCCAGAAATAAAGTATTAGGCTAGCTAAAGGTAAGTAATTAGATAAATAGAATACTTACTTAATATCTTGTAAAATCCGAGCTATATTAATAAATCTGCTATTAAAAGTTAAGAAACTAAGGTAAAATAGCTATTACTAAGATTTCTATATATTAATATATTATCTTTTCGGAGATAGAACTATAATATCTCTATTTTCTCTATTAAGAGTTCTTAAATACTAAGTTTCTTAATTCACTTCAGGTAATTCTTCTTATAAATATAACTATTTATACCTAGATTAGTAGTACTAGACTTAGAAACAGAAACTATAGTATCGAATTAAAGCTATAGATTAGGGCGAAATTAATTAGAAATATAGTACTTATATTTATATTTCTTAATTTCCTAGTTCTTAAAAAAGAAATCCTATATTTTCTTATTTATCTAAGTAGCGGAAATATACTTCTTGCCTTTAGTAACTTTATAGATCTTAGTAACTAGCTTTAGAGCGTCCTTAATCTCTTATATATTAATAGAGAAAGTATTAGTAAGTTACTAAGTATATATTATATAAGAAGCTTTAAGGAATCTATTATTAACCCTATAGTATTCTTATTTATAAATAGATCCCAAAATACTACTATATATCTCCTTAAAAATATACTTATCCTACCGAGTAAGTATTAACTTCTATTTAGCTAGTATTTTATAGGTATATTAAATGCCTTTATTAAGTTCTCCGGACTTAATACTTTTAGTCTTCTGCTTCTTAGTTCTAGATATAATTATAGGTATTTTTCTAGATAATATCTTTTGCTTTAGAATAAAGAATTTCTTCTTACTTTTCTCTATTTCACTAATCTTATACTTGGTCTAGTACTTAGATCTCTGCTATTTATTAGAAGTTTTAGGCTTAGCTTACTTTCTATTCTTGCCAGGTTCTTCTTGTCTAGTTATACTAGTTCTACTAGCTTTACTAGTAGTTTTCTTACTAGGCTCTATTAAATTAGCTCTATTTTTCTTAGCTAGATCTAATTAAGTTAAAGCAGAAATTATAATAGGGGCCCATTCTTTAGGCTTATCTCGGAAAGCAGGAAAAGGCTTATTACTATAAACTTCCTTAATTAGAATTCCGGAAGCATTAAAGGTATACTATCTAGCTTTAAGGTTATTAGCTAATAGTGGCTTAAACTCTAATTCTCTAGGTTCCGAAATAGCTTTAGTATACTTAAGTACTTTAGTAATATATAATTTAGTAAATATACTAGTATTCTAATACTTCTTATCCTTAATATACTCTAAAGTAGCTTTATTAATTAATTAAATAGCTTTATATACTAAAGCTTTTATCTTAAAGAGAAAGTATAACTTCTTATAGATATTCTTACTAAGGTTATTACAGATATTATTAATATATTAGCTAAAAGCTTTACTATATAGTATAATTCTATTCTAACCCTTAGTATTAAGGCTATTTACTATAGTCTTAATCTTATTAAGCTTCTCTTATCTGCCTTTAGAAATGCCTTTAATAATATTCTTGAATTCCCTATTATTGGCTTAGTAGTTCTTTAGCTTCTCCTTAGTTAATTCCAGTTCAGTTCTATTTCTAATAAAGGTTTTCTACTTTAAGAGCTTATTATATATACCGCTTAGCTTATCTAGGATATTTGTATTAAATTCGGTAATTATAGCTATCTTTTCTAGTATTAGCAGGCCTTCTATAATTGCCTAAGCTTCTTTAATGCTCTGAACTTTAATACTATTAATCTATAGGCTTTTAATAATACTACGGCTTGCAAGAACTAGCTATTATACTTTACTAGCTTAAAGGATCTGTACTTTGGCCATTTTGTTATTCTTAATATATTATAAAAGTATTATTAGTATAATAGTTATAGGTTATAGAATTAAAGGTTCTCGAGATTACAAGAATTTCTTTTAAATATATTTTAAAATAAAGAGTGAATTAGAATAGTTTTAGATTATATAAAGGTATTATATATATTCGAGTTTTTCTTTCTTTCTAGTAAGAAAATAAAGCTGAAATAGTAGTATATATAATAGGGAAAGTAGGTATAATAATTAGATATATTTGAGGTAATATAGTTATAAATTAGAAATAATTATAAAAGATAAAATGTAAAGTTAGGCTTCTACTATAAAAAAGAATATAAATATATATATCTAAGGAAATATAATTAAGGAAATAATTAAGGCAGATTAAACTAAATAGTAATAATAGGGAAATAAGAGGGTAATATAATAGAAATATAAATATAGTAATAGTATCTAAAGTATTAGAATATAGAAGGAAATAATAAAAATTTTATAATATAAATATATCCTAACTTTTTATTTATTTAGAGATATTTCTATTAATTTAAAGAATAATATAAAAGAAGGGAAATAATATAGGAAATATATAAAAGATAAGATATATAAATATACTAAAGATATTAGGAAAATATAAAGTAAGTATTAATAGAAAAGAAATTAGAATAATAGAATTAAGAAATAACTTAAAATAAGGTATTATTTCTTCCGAAACTAATTTATATCTTTTCTAAAAGCTAATTATATTTGCTTAGTACTTATTAAAGTCGACTTTATATAGTATAAAACTATTTAGTTAGTTAGAACTTTAAAGTAATATCTATATTTATAAAAGTAATACTAAAGGTATTAGGGTTTATAGAAAGAAGAATTATAAGATAATATAAATGGGGTTTATAGTACTATTATAAAGTTTGGAATAATTAAAGCTAAAGTTAATATAGAATGTAAAAAGATTAGATATTTCGAATTAGTATTAAGAATATAGTATTAAAGGTATTTTCTTAATTATTTAGATAATATTTAATAATAAAAAATAGATTAATAGTAAGAATTAGCGAATTATACTAGCTTTTTAAAGAAGTAATTAGTTTCCGGTAATAAAACGGTATCTTAATTAGAGAA